AGTTATTTTTTAAACTATAATAATCCAATGTGTAAAATAGAGAAAGAATTTTTTTAATGTGTGGTCAATCGATCAATTAATTAGTAATTGTCACTAATAACCGTCCAGTTATTGTATTAAATATCTCTCTATTCTTTGTGAGTTTGTACAATAGAACGAGGAAATGTACTCCCAAACTCATGTCAGTCTGTAATGTACAGATTAACAGATGACCGAAAAAACTATATATGTATATAAATATGAGTAGGTACGGTTTTTAAGTTGGTAAGCGTGATGGTATAATAAAATATATTTTTAAAAGATCTCTTAGACACTTTGTTATATATTGCGAGGACTTTTTTTCCAGATATATTGTGTTAGGGTTCACATCGATATTGTCGAAAAATTTCATATTTTATATTAAAAGAAGGTAGTTTCATTATTACTCGGTATCGTTAAACTAGTTGCATATAACCCCAACTCATATCTTCTCTGTATAAAAGGGAGGGTTTTTGTAAGCCGCGAAATTCGGTCGTTGAGCACAGAATGTGCTGGTTGTATTTTAATTGCTAAAGTAAATTGTGTTAGAGACATAGTTAAATTAATGTTATATAGTTGTTATTTTATTATAATACATACTTTTACTAGTACATAGAGTTGATATATCTAACAATTGTAGTAACGAATGATTGAAATTAAAAATATTGTTACTTTATACCTTGCAAAAGTCATCTTTTTTCATTGATGATTAACCGTAAGTAGACTGTAAAAAGTCGTCTGCGTGGGTATTTCAGTCTCACCTTTTTCAGCCTACAAGTGGCTTGCTTTGATAGCTTTATTTAAGTTGTTTTATCATAGAACTCTGGTATGACAGTGTGCCACCGTTGTGACGAGATAAGTATTTTATATATATATATATAGGTGATGGTTAGCGCTTACCGTTTCAATCATATTAAAAAGTCGGTTCAATTGAATTCGATACAATCGACGTTTTAACTAGGTTACACTAGCCGTGATGACGAGCTGATTGGTGTAATAGTAACAGCAATGTAGTAGAAAAAAACTACTGGCATTTTACTAAGTTAGGTGGAAACAACTATTATTACAGTCAGCTCGTGAACCAGTGAAACTGACTTGACATAACTAGAGAGGTTAATTATTAACTAGAGACTTTAATTTACCTTAAATTATTCATGATAAGATCCATTTAACAATTTATATAATGAACTAACATACTCTCAAAATAAATGGAATCTCCATTACCACGATTTTTTTTCTGGAGTTTCTACTCTTATATGTTTAGTTTATTATGGAATAATATATAGAGACAAATGACCGTTGTATCTGCCTAATTGCCTACAGTGCAGCAGATGATACTCACCCGCTATCGCTGTTTTCTCCCTAACCAGAGGCCTATGATTTGTAATAAGCAAGTTACTCACTCAGCAGTTTTAGATGAATTTAACTAGATTGCGTTCCACCCCACTGTGACGTTACAGTGTATAAAAGAATACACAAATCATGGGGTTGCATTGATTTGAAAAACGATGTAAATGTTTGTAATAATAAAGTCATACAATATTTTACTTTTTACTAAAATCTGTGTAAAATCTTAATTTACTGAGTTTTTTTATATTTGAACATATTAGCCGTGTCTGGAATTATACCTACATGAATTAAGATATTTTTGATATACTTTCGTTTTTGATTACGGTTTGTTATTGCGTGACAGAACTCTAATAGTATAAATACATAAGTGTATTTGCATGGTAGCTACCTTCTCACGGTTAAACGGCTAAACTATAAAGAAAGTTTGTGTGAAGATAAGTTGTATCATGAGTACTGACATTTAAAAGTCGAAATTTAAAAAATCCATAGATCAAACCTGATCTATGGATTTTTTAAATTTCGACCTTGTACGTCCGTGAATATTTCCGTCGGTTCGTTCTAAACTTGTATCGGTTGGTTTGGAATACTATTAGATAATGTTAAGTCGCTCATGATGAATTAAATATTTGAAGTGTTATAATTCTTTACAGACTAAAATTTTATAAAAAACGACTTATTTTAATTTTGGTGAAATATTGAAATACTGTGACTACATTAATTCAATACAATTCTGATAAATTCAAAACTAAATAAAGAAATAATTAAAATCGGTTTAAAATATGGATACCGTCGCTAGTAGCCATCAAATATCACACATAAAGTACATTCTGTTATATTTATTATTATACTTAAAGATGCAGAATTTATTACAAATAACAATTTATATTTAATATTGTACCTAACATATTACAGTAACATTGGAGGGAAGATCATACAAAAGTGACAAGTCTAACATTCTGTTATGATTTGAGATCAGTCATTACGGTTATTAGAATGCGTTCTGAACTTATAATTATACACACGTTCATCTTTCACATTTTTAACGACTAAGTTTTCTTAAGGACTTTATTTTTAATATATTTTAATTTTAGTATTTAGAGAAACTAAGGTCGCTGATGGTAAAAGACATATATTTAAAAAATGACAAATAATCGAACAATAGAATGGATTTTAAATATATATAAAAATCTAATAAAACTGTAAGAAAGTCTCTGGTGCGTTGTGCACACACTTTCTCATTCGCATATTCAAATCCGTAGAAAATGAGTAATATCTACGGGTATCAATGTAAAAGAGTTTCAAAAACGGTCGTTCGGAAAGATTTTGATTCAAACGCCGTACCATATTCAGTCAGCGTGGCGTTATGAATCATTCCTAGGAGCTACGAATATTTGAGGCGGCTCACGCAATCTGATGATTAGCTAAAAATCGCAGCTTTGTCCACACGAATTAGTATTAAAACTATCCTGTGTTATATGTGTTATCAATAGCCTAATACCTAATGTAGCGTAAATTTCATTGCATTCGGCGAAATACCACTTATATAAGACTTGATTAGAATCTGTAATATTCCTAAGATTAACATTTCTATTACAATTATTGTGGCAGTTTCTTTCTTTTGTGATTCTCCAAGTCATGAAAATATCATGAATTAGAGAATTACAGAGCAAATAAATCAATAATTATATCCAGATTATACCATTATGAAACAGTAATAAGTTTAATAAATGTTTATTATTATTATGTGTTACTTTGCTGTCATTTTATATTAAATCAAAATAGTAAAATCTAAATGCCTACCATATCCATTTTAAATACATTGAGAGACAAGAAAATCGAACGGTTCGAGCTCGTTGGACCGCGGAAACTTCATTTGCGGGCTCCTCTGGCCGTGAAATGAACTGGGCCCGATATTACACTGATATTATATTATTTCGATTATAATACTGGTATAATATCGATGTCTAGTCTATCAGAATTTCACCTTAACGATGCTGCCCATTTTGCAAAACATTTTTCAAAGGTTTGCTTAATTGATCAAGATATTTAATCATATTATTATTCTAAATTTAGATTAACTACAGAATAAATCAAATTATAATACTCATATTTATAATATCAAAATCAGAATTCCAAATCATATTACTACATACTTATTAATTTTCATATTTCGAACATTTTACGAATGGAAAGTAATTATATTTCAAAAGTATTTATTCGTGTTATATTAAAGACATATATATATATACTTCTTTAGAAGTGTGTAAAGTTACACACTTCTAAAGAAGTATATGACAAATATACATATGTAATGAATTAAAATCAAATTTACAAATACAAATGAAACTTATTTTATTTTTATTTACCCTGTTCAGCGATCACTAAAAAGTAAATAATTAATTAAAAAAACAACATTTTGTTTAAATACACTAAAAATAATAAAAGGCCGACAACGTACTTGCAATTCCCCTGGTGTTGCGGGTGCTCATGGGCGGCGGTAATCATTTACCATCAGGTGAGCCGCATGCTCGTTCAAAAAAAAACATTTCCTTTAAAAATTTTACTAATAGCTAATAACGTCATTAGATTCATATTATATAAAAGCGTTATATTTGTAGATAAACAAGTAAATTAAATTACTTGTTTGTATTAATTTTAATTTAAAATAAAATCAATATAAGTAAATAGTAATCAGTATTTATTTCTCGCAATAAGCATTTATCACATACTTTGAATGTTTATTTTACAGTTAGAACCGATTGAGCTGCATGAATAATATACGAGAATGGTTTTGTTTTAACTAATATAATGTATTATTTTATTAAAAGGTTCTACCTAATTCGTATCTAAAGACTGATGATTAAAGCCAGCTGGGTATAGGAAATTCCTTTACCCTTTAACTAATGGGTATAAAAATCTTCTCAACATAACTATTGATGATATTATATCCCTGGCAGCACCTTATTATTAGGTGTATCGTTAGATTGGTTGCCATTTTAATTACATACAAACAATATTATAATGTAGCCCATAGATCTATTTTCTGAAGAGAGAAATGCAAGGTCAAAAATTTTATACTAAAAGTAATAAACCTCTTTGATTATGTCTTATTTTTTTCAATAACTTGATAACTACTCTATGATGAAAAAGGTTATTACAAAATTTACGTGACAAAACCTTTTTATACACAACTTATTAACATTATCAAAATTATATTCTGATAATATTAATAAGTTGTGTATAAAATGATATATAGTCTGTTTTTAATTATGCGCCACAATATTTGGAATTCTTTAATAAATATGTTCGAAATGATTGAGTTATTTTTATGCATTCATTGACTCTCTAAATGATATTACTATCTTTGTTCCTCACATACATATATATGTATGATGTATGTATATGTTAAAATATGAAATATATGTAGAATTGAGTGTAGTGCATTTCAATCAACGAATGCAGGGCTTAATGTCTCTATACTAGGAAATCTGCGTGGAAACATTGATGAAGCTTATGCAAACCATACTTTGGGGTCCGCTGAAAATTTTCTGAAAAGTGAAAAACCACGCCTCTTTACAGGAGAGCTTGGGATTGGATGAATTTCGTCTACATCCGTAGCAGGGCCGGCCAATAGCATTAGAGGCTACGCGCAGCCGTCGCGCTACACAAGAGACGCGCGGGGTGCTACGCCAGCGACAGACGCTACGAGGCACCTGCTACGCCTGGGATCTAGAAAAATGTAAGTATTCATATGTAATATTCTAATTATAATAATTACATAATCATATTGCAACAATTTTTGTTCCTATTTGTAGAAACAGAAACTAGATAATATATGTATATAGCGGTTAACTGAGTGTACACCAAATGGATCGATTACGTAATCGGTTACCTATCTATATGTATATATATTATATATAAAATATATATGTAAGTTGTTTTATATATAGTATACACTTATATACTATAGGCAGTAAGTTTAAGTTTAAACATTTATTTAATTTATGTAATGCTAATATATCAGTACTAGTAGTATTGATTTTTAATAAGTACTGATTAATATACTAATGTATTAAATAAAATGAAATAATTAGAACCACAACTACAAATACTTAAAAAGAAGGTACGGGATTAGGAATTAAAGGATTTGTTCTATTCTATTTCAATTCTATAGAATAGAAAAAAGCTATTTACCAAAACAAATTATTACTGTAAGATATTAATGGGTTTGAAATATTACACTTTACTTATTTTTGTAGTATCTATAAGCAATACATTAAAATGTCATATAATTTAATTATACTTAAACCATTTTTAATTAAAATTCTTTAAATAAAAGATAATAATTTTACTTACATAACTCAATGTAGGCCGAGAACTTCTGATCGCCCCTAGATGTAGTGACAATTGCATATCTCGCTATCTCACTGGAAGTTAATATCTCGATAATAAAAAAAATATTCTGTGATTTTACCAAGTAGAAATATATAAATAGATATTATAATTTCTTTCTGATATAATACAATAATCCATTCTTTACTTTTCATAAATTAATAAGTAGAGCCATATTATGAAAAATCCTATGTTGGACCCTCCTGTAAAGAATATATTTTATTTTTATTTTCGTTATAAATTGGCCATAAATAGAAATTTTAAATCGATTATGCTAGTAGTTTCCGAAATATAGCCCGGTGACATATAGATGGACTGACAAAGTCACGCCAATACGCTATAGAAGTGACTGTTTTGAAGTTTTTTTTGGAACCCTACCATCTAATCCTAATCATACTTTTCTTAATACGCGGGGGGATTTCATATAAACTCATTTATTTATTGCATTAACAGCTTGCGTTCCAAATCGTACCTATTCCGGTTTAAAAGGTGGCAGTACAAACATACAAACATCAAGCAGTACAGTCACAAAGTTTGGCAACCAAGAAATGAAGTACCATATATGTTACAATGTATTATAATGTATTAATATTAGTATTGCATGTATAAGCGATGACTTCCATTTTCATAAACTGCCGTCAGCTTGTTTGCTATGCCAATTATATAGGAGTAAAAAAGAGTTGTAAATTTTATAACTTCTTTGTATACAAATTATATTCGTGTCTAATGTACGTCTATGTTACAGGTGTTAGTAACGTATGAATGAATGAAGGAAGCCGGGCATCAGCAATGCAAGGGCTACGAGCCGCGAAGGACAAGGCCTCCGGCCTGCTCGCCAACAAACACCTTATACTCAAGTAAGTGATTCGAATCGAGCAAAGAGGGATATATTGATTAAAACTTGAAATCAATAACTTTGATGTGGTTATTGTTCAAAGTATACTACATGTCTCTTCTTTTGAGATTGCGCAGTATTTATGTGCGCTAATAAAAGTAATTGAATAAATAGATCTCTCTCAGTCAGTAACTATTTAATTTTTGTTTTAGTATTTTTAACATTTGTTCTAATTAGGTTAACCGGTTTGGAAAGAAAACCCCAAAATCAATTTAGATAATAAAAGAAGTAAGTGATTTATTTATTCATAATTTAAGACCTACGTTCTTACAGGTGGATGTATTGTCACTTCTCATGATTACACTAATTACCAAAATATAAACTTACTAATCCATCGGCAAATTATTCACTTTTATAGGTTCTTTAGAGACTGTGACTGACTAATTCTCTCTTTGTACAAAAACCTTCAGATGAAGAAATCGTTAGTTAATAACGGGTATATCATATGTATTGTAACAAGTATTCTCTAACATTTATATATATTTAAGGAGTTAATATTTTACTATTAACTTTTATATATTATAAAAGTTAATAGTAAAATATTAAATAAAATATTTGGTTAATACCAAATAATATTTTTTGGTTATAAATCTTCGATGAACCAATGATCTCGTTTTTCAAAATATTATGAAACTCAATATATCTTAAAGATATTCACTGTTAAGTATTTCGTATACTTTTAAAATAGTATAGAGAAGTATTTGTGTTTTAAAGTTTTTGATATTACTTATAACTCAGTAGAAAATTTTAGAGTAAATGCATACTTGCAATACGAGTATTCATAAAATCTTAAATTTAAAAATAGATAAATAATACTTTTTAACTCACGGTTCGAGTCTCTGTCCGTTTCCAATAGGCCCTGAGCCAGTTTGAAGCCCCAGAGGTGTAATAATTAACAGTAATTACATTGTTATTTATAACTAATAGATATTAGTATGACTGGAGGAAAATTTCTGAATACCACACATACTGTAAATGAGCTAAGATAAATTATTGTCAACTACATATGTACTGTATTACGATACAGTCAAGCTATTTGTAATCTTTCGTGAAAGACAAGATATAACTTAGTAAGGCCTACATATTATTCAGGTAGAGTAGTATTTTTACTATATACTTAAATATATTGATTTTATATTAGTACTTTGTATTATTTTTATTATTTATAAAACCACAAATATAGACACGGAAATCAATAATCCGCTGCAAAACAAACAATGATTTGATCGGGAAAGAAGCAATTTGGCGGAAGCCGTTGAAGCTGCGAGTCGATCGTCGATAATATTGACAGCCGGATAATACGTGTAGCAAGAAAATAAAATATAAGGGCGGTGTATCTTGGACTTTGCAGTAACGAGCATTTTTACTTGAGGGCCGACACTGATCAGTCTAACTAGATGTCCAAATTGATAGTTCGTTTAGAATCTTGTAGTCATTTTAATATCACTTTTATTATACAAAATTATTTTGATATAATTTTAGAAATTTAGAAATAATAGAATAATGAGATGTACATGACAGCAAGATGGATGTATTGCCACTTTAAAGTAGATCCCATCAACTATTAGATACAAATAAAAATGAAATAAAATTCAGGTTATTTTCATCGATTTTTTTACATTATTTTCTCTTATGTTAGATTATTTTGAGTCTGCTTATACTGCAAGTTCAGCCCTTTTGTACAAAAAATAGGGAATAAAATTTATTTTTTAGGCTGACTATAAAGTCGATCACGGCTCGTTCGCGGCCTAGTAAAATACATACTATATTGTTAAATAATAAACAATCCTTATTAAAAAGGAAGTTTAAGAATATCTTTATCAGACAGTTTTGCTGTTAAATAATTTTGAATTATGTGCCATATATATGTTTTCTGTTAGGATTTGTACCTAACTTATTATTATAAGCGAAAATACAGGTTACCTTTGGAATTTATAACATTGGTACAACTTGCAAAATTATATGTATATAGATAAAACTTAACCTTAAAAGTACTTGCTACTCATGAAATTACTTGAAGTCTTAATCTGAAAAATGACTAAAATCCGCCACAGCCTCGCAAATCGAGCGAGCTCAATAAATAATGCGATTATAGTATAGCGGGAGACAGCCCTACAGGCTCAGTCGACTGTTCAGCGCTGATAACAAACAGACATCATCCGGATTTGTGTCGTCATGCGAACCGACTGCCGACTACCGACGATTGCACCAATCCTGATTTGTTAACAAAGCTATATGCTTATAAGACGGTTTTGTATAACATAAGTTTACAAAATAACAACAGTTTTAATATATTGATATAATTTCGTATTCAGTGCAAGAAGGCATTGCGTATTGCGTTCTTATTTCCTTTTTAATGGAAATTTTAGGAAACTATGTTTATAAAACTGGCATTGCAGTAGATATATAATAGTTTTTCCTGTGTTCACAAAGGTAAAAAAGTTTAGTTTACTCTTTCTTCTAGAAATATTGGTATGTACATCTCAATCACTCGTCATATAATTTAAATTTATATGCCGAGTGATTGAGATGTACATACTAGTAAAGTTATTTTGTACCCATCGAAATAATTTGATCATAATAAGAAACAATATGTTTTTTTATACTCAGTTGAATTTATCACTCACGCATGACAGATCACATTGTCTGAAATCGTGTTAAGTGAGCTATGTTCAATTTAATGCACTAAGACTAATCCTACAATATACACAATATCTAACTTAGATTTTGAGTGCCATTGGAAATTAAATAAAGTACAGAAAAGTACTAAGATTTTTGTGGCACATAAACATTTAGAAACCTTGTTCACATTATATTTACCATGCCTATAATACCATGACGACCTCGGTGGTTTAGCGGTCTAGCACACCGCTTTACGACCGATGGTCGCGGGATCGATTCCTCACACGGCACAAACATTTGTATTCATGAGTATAATTGTTTGTATCGGTCTGGTTGTTTTCTATGTATAATATGTATGTATTTACAAATAAAAAATATCTATGTATATGTATCAGTTATCTAGTATTCATAACACAAGCTTTAGCTAGCTTAACTTGGGTCTAGATGGCGCTGTGTTAATTGTCAAAAAAAAATATGTGGTAGGGTTCGATATTTTATTTATAGACAGGAAATTACTTTAAATATTGGAAGTGATAAAATGTATGGTATATAAGAAGTTCTGAATATTGAGATCATACAATCGTTTATCTAAACGCCGATTTAGATCGACCGACAAGTTTATATTGTCTCCCATTTATATATACTAGTAGTGCTACGTAACTAGTAATAAAACTGATATAAATATTCATTATAATAAAACTGAATTACTTTTAATATTTTTGCACTGAGGCCATTAGGCATTAGAACTGCTTTACTGATACCATGATATTTTATTATGTTATCTGTGCTGATACTGACTTGATCGTCAATATCAGTAAAACACATTTCTTGTTTATCGATCATGTTTCTTCTAATATTTAGCATTTTAAATCTAACGTTATTAATATTTATGAACAACTTCTTGAACGATTCAATATATTTTTAAATCTTAACAAAAGAACTAAGATTAATAAAAAAGAACAATGAAAAACAAAATAATGTATTGTTTCCATAATAGAATTAAATAAATACTAATTAATGTTGTCTCCTTCTAATGTTTATGACTACTAGATTTCAAGAAAACAATAATTTGTAAATTTGTAAACAGATTTCTATAAGTGGGCATGGAGAAGTTAGATATTTGTATATAGCCACCTACACATTAACCTTATGAGCGATCCCCAAGGTTTTAAGCTCATAAATTGCGTAGCGACTAGCAACCAACGCAGAAGGGTAGCCGGTTCATTATTTAGTCCGTTTAAATCACTAAGTCCTTAAAAGACATTAGCAGGCTTTGTACCGTTATCGCAGTACACAAAAGAGATTTGGAACGAGCTGACAGGGGGAGGATCCTGTCAATTATCACCCGTTATATTTAGCTGAATGTACATTTTATAAGTATCTCAGCTACAGGGCTTGGATACCCTTATAATGCACGCCACTTGACTGTATTTTTTATAAATAATATAAAATATGTTCCCTAATTTGTTACACAAAATAATATTTCGGCATATTATTATTTAAATTATTATTTTTATAAAATATTATTAATTATTTACTTCTTTTTTTGGGAGCCAAATATTGTAATTGTAATAAAATTAAGACATTATAATATTATGAAATTTTTAAAAGAGCCATTATAATGTAACTCTGCTATAATTTACAGATTATGATATAGCAGTATAATAATTTCGTTTCTGACTTTTCAATTTGTTTGGCATATTATAAATGTTATATGCTAACGCTACTGGTACTTAGGGAGCTGACGACTAAAATACGTATACAGCACTCATGCTAATTGTTGCCGCCATTTGAATATTGCTGGCGACAATTACTCGATTGGTCCATCGCCTCGGGCTGTACAGCGGACCCCTAAATTAATTGCTCTTTGCTCACTTTGTTTTGTTTTATTCTCTTAATGATGGATATTAAAATGTGATGTCCGAGATAAAATTTTTAAAGGGCATTTAATATATAATATACCAAGTAATATATTACATTACTTGATATATTATATATTACATTTTTGGTCATAATTTTAAATTAAGCAAGAAAATTATATATGGTATTATTTTTTGTATATATACCTAGAGCATACACCTAAATACACCTAACCTATCTACTAGGTAATAAATATTGAATATTAAAAAAAGTTTTGCTAAATAACTAAAAAAAGTTAATATAATATATTTATAATATATTCTATCTATAATTATTAAACTTGTGTAAATCCGTATATTTATAAAAAAAGATAGTCACATTATTGTATTGAATGCTTAAAGCTTAGATAAATTGCCGGGCAGGTGTAAATAATATATCCTCAATTTGCGCCTTTCCTTGATGGAGAGGAAATTCCATATC